TTCATTTAGTTGGATTTAGGTTTGTAAAACATGTATTAATGAACTTACGTTATAAAATTAATAAGAATATGTAGAGATTTTCATCATGACATATTATTTGAATTGAAATGTTTTCATTGGTTAATTTAAATGACATGTTCCTTAAAACTCTCATTGAGTGACATCTAAGATTTTTCACTTTAGTGTTTTCTCAATTAATATACTGAAGATTTGTATATTCTTTTCAGAAAGCTGTTGCGGTCGAGAATGGCGTAATTTTTGGGAAGAAACTGGAAGGAGAAGTGATCGTAGATCATTGCAACATCATCGAACACTCTTTCTGGGAAGAAAATCCATACATTCTTAGCTACTAGTCATAAAACAGCTCTGCTTCTTACTTCACTTGTAAAACTAATTCATTGCAATACTTTTAAATTTTTCGAAACTTCTTTTTTTGTTACAATTTATAAAAGTCTTTTTGTGTCAAATTTATGCAATGTGGAATCAGTTTAATTAGAAATTGAAACTCTTACAATTGTTCAGATGGGGATTTACATAAAATCATTAGAAAGGATATTTGTGGAAGATGAGACTGAGAGGTATGTAAGACATTAAATTCACACCATATCTGTGCACCGGCCAACTACTAACTTCTGTTGCGTTGCGTAAAAGTAACTTTATCTTCTCGTTTTTCTTAAAAATATGATCAATAAAGACAATATTATTATTAGTTTCTATCATATTGAATATAATTTGTTGTATAGTTGTAGTCCAAATTTCTTTTAAGTCGGTCCAACTACTTGATAAGACCTATAGACTGAAATTTTCAAGTCTGGTGGTTAGATTTTGAGAAGTGTTTTTTGTTCTCATTCCATATTAAAAATCCGACTTTATATCTATGTATGGTGAAATATCTTATATTGTAAGTGATTGGAGATAGAAAATGACCACAAAAATATGGAGAAAATTTATATATTTTTTGCCATATTTATTTGATTTCAGTACTTCTAGAGGCCAATTAGTGTTATCAATAATATCAAATTCTAGATAGTTTCTTAAATTACAAGGTCTCTTGCACTTTTTAAATAGCCATAATTGAGAAAAATCAGGTCAAATGTTGTATACCATAATTATTCCATTCATAACTGAGAGCGAATCATATTACAGATTTTTTCCATTAATCATCGCTGATTAAAAAAAATGAAATTCATATGAACCAAAAAATAATTGGCTACATTACCACTCTCATTTGGAAAATTTTGAAGGCGACAATTTGATACTACTAGTTTTTATGAAATTTATTTCCACTAAACAATGATATATTTCCTTTTATTTGAGAAAAAAAAAATAACTATATTTGACATTTCTTATTCTTGAAAAATATATTTGTATTCATGCACTGAATAATCAATGAAAGACAAACAAAAGAAAAAATATAAAACAAGATCGGTAACAAATTAAATAGGAAGTCGTGGATGAGTACCCCACCATTCATCACAAGAGATTCCTCATTTAGAGCATCTTGTTTCTATACATTTCTCTACC